TGGATGACGAATGGACTTTTAAACGTCCTCAAAAATAAAAATTATAAAATTTTCTTATAATTGAATAAAATTTCAAATAAAATTAATTTAAAAAAAACTAAAATTTAATTAAGTCGTTTCGGGTTAAAAACGAACCCGAAAGTATAAACGAGCGGTACAATGTGGACCGCGCAATTAAAAGTATAAATAGGGCTAAATAACTGAAAAATTAGATATTCTCACCCTTGTTTAGCACAACACACGTTGGAGAAGAGAGAAAAGACAGAAAATAGAAATTTCAAGCTTTCTCTCTCGATCCAAGAAGCCCGTTGGTGTACCAAGAACGAGGGCTACGCGTACGTACCAAGAACGAGGGATTTCACCGAAGATCCAAAAGGGGAGATTTGGGAAATCAAAGGTTTTGGGGTTAAGGAGGTGCCTAGAAACTTTCTATCTTCATCTCACTCTCCAAGAGGTAGGGTTTCTCCTACCTTGGTTTATTTACTTACCTAGATGTCATATGAAATGGGTAAGGGGAATAAATTAACCTAGGTTTCCTAGTTACTTTCGGTATAGGGGATTCATTTGTGAAATTGTGGTAATTTGATAAATGTTGTCATTGTACCTTGTGAATGACTTTGATTAATTTATGTGATAACATGAATTATTTGTTTTGGAGGTGTCTAGCCAAATGCCTATGAGGAATTTAGTTGTTATGGTATGAGTTTGTATAACATGCCATGAATTTTGTTGAGATAACATGAGTAAAGATATGTTGTCAATATGCTAACTTCATGTTGATTAGTGGTGATTATATGTAATTGATATTAATTGTCATGTTGTGTATTGAGATTGGTTAAATAGTTCATTTCACATACATTATATTTGAGCATGACATTGGTATTACAATGGTGCATCACATTGCATTTGCACGGGAGAATGCATCCATGCCATAAGTATGAGTGTGTGAGTGCATGGTTGGATCAATCACCACATTTGGTATTTTGATGGGTGGGCTCAGGAAAGTGGGGTTGAATATCCTACTGAGTCGCACGATTGCACACATGGAAAAACTTGTGTCGGGTATAGCAAGAAGAGATAGATTCCCCCTTGGGTGCAAGACTCGGCTATTGGTTTATACACTTTCGACAGTGTAAGTCCAAAAAAGTGTATCGGTGTGTGGAACCGACGGTGCAACATCAAAAGTCCACTACCCAAATAAAGACACATGGTTTTTGTTGGATAAATGATTCGTTTGATGGAAAACATCCAAAAATGAATTGGTGTTATAAACACTTAGTTTTTATCTTCAAAGATGATCATTGGATGTATTTCATCAATGACAAGAATTTTTACAATTGCATTGTATGTGTGGAGAGAGCTGGTGGAGGCTTGGGTTGATGTGCATGAGTGAGTCTCATCTCATTTCATGGCATGACATGATAGGTTCTAACATGAATTGAATATTCTTGCATTGAAATGGATATTGGTTGAGTGTTGTTGCATGTATACATTCATATGCACTTAGGTGGGGAGTAGCCCTTGTAGGAAGTATTCTACTGAGCGTTGGCTCACCCTATACAGGAAACATTTCAGGTAAAGGGCATATTCCGGTGGATGACACACATTCGAGGCCTCTAAGGTGAAGAAGAACTGGGTTGTGGCTCTTGAACCGAGTTTTATGTAAAACTTTTGGTTTAATTCTATTTTGGCATGTAAATTGTATGGAATGGGTTGTAATAGACTTGTATAAATCATGTATAATGTAGAAAATATCTTTATACATGTTTGGGATGGATTTGGAAAGGTTTTGATTGAATTGGAAATGAAAAACCATGAAATATGAAATTCTAGACAAAACCTACCGGTAGCCAACAGGTAGTACCTGTACAGTAGGCAATAACTACTAGTAGCCAATAGGTAGTACCTGTACAACAAACAATAACTACCGGTAGCTAAGAGGTAGTACCTGTCCAGTAGAAGGAAGCTACCGGTAGCTCACAGGTAGAATTTCTACTGGTAGTTATAACAAACACCTACCGGTAACTCTTTCAAAAACCTGAAAAATCCAAAATTGTTTTGCTAACCTTTTGAACTTTGTTCTCTTTAGTTTCAATGATATAAATGGACATTAAAAGAGGTATGTTGAGGCTTATTGGACCTCTGTTGAATCAAATGATTAAAGAAACACGAGTTATACGTGTAAGCTATGATCCCGATTACAAGAATGTGATAGACGTTATGTCGAGCCATGCGACATTCACGGGTATTTTTGCGGGTTGACGGATGGTCAACGGGATCCCCAATTTTAGGGGCGTCACAGGGGATGTGGATGAAAACTATACCTGTTAACGGGGATGGATAAAGTTTTTTAAAGTGGTACAGGGATGGAGATTACAACCCCACCCCCGCTTCAGTCCACTGCCATACCTAGTTGTAAACAAATATTTGTAATTTTTTACGAGTAACATAATGCCTTTAGGCATAAACAATAATTAGTTCATCTACAACTTTGTCTATGTAGTTTTTCCAATCAAATTTTCTATATTGTCTATTCTAAGCCTAAAGAAAAATTTTGTAATGACTCTATTATATCAGGAGAAGCATAACATTTTGCATATGATGTCACACTATCATGAGAATTTTTTTATTTTTTTTTATGGTGAGTAACCTCTCTAAGGTAGGACAACATTAGAGTTACCCCTACAAAGCAAAACCCTATATACCTGCAACCACAAATGAATCACTCATGAGAAACCCATAGAAGTGGTTTATTGGTTGAATCTAATTTTCGGTAATTTAGGGTCTCATGTTCAATTCATTCACACACTCTTTAAGAGTCTTAGCTCAAGTCACGATGATAATCACTAAACTTGAAAGAATAATCGATATAAACTTAAACACCACATAGAAAAAAAATCTAATGATGAGAACAAATTTAAACACCGTAAATAATAGGTTTTACTGAATGTTTATGTTTATGTAGGTATTTACTACAACCCGACTTACGTCATGTCTCACCCATTGATTATCATACACTTTTTAATTTACTAGTAATGCATCACGTGCGTTGCACGTGAATAATTTTTTCAAAAAAAATTAATAAATAAATATTTGATATATGTACTTAAATTAAATATCATCTTAAGTTTACCAAACTTATTTTTTTATCTCTCATGTTACATTATAGAATTTTTAAAAACTTTGTATATTTTTAAGATTTGTTCTTCTAACTTTAAAAAAAACAATAAAAAAATAAAAGAAATAATTAACGTTCTATTTTGTTTCTATAATTTTGTAATTAAAAGTGATTTTTTAGTGATGTTTGAAAATTAAATTTTTAAAATTAATTTGATTAAGATTCCACTTATAAATCATTGAATAAAATAAAAATAATTATCAATATACCAATCGTATTGGAACTTTAATATATTTAGGATTAGTTATGTCAATTGAGATAAAATTTAATATATAATGTTAGAATATATATTATAAAACATATTAAAATTTTTAAAAAAATTCAAGTTTTCACATAAAATGTTAACATAATTTAAAAAGTTTACTGTGACTAAAAAATCATATAAAAATATAAAAAATAAAATATACATATGTTGTCATAATATTATCTCTATAAATGAGTTGAGTAATATTATATTGATAGAGTTTTTGAAGGTTTTTTTTGAATATTTTGTTAAAACTTATAATAATGCATATGTTTTTTAAGAGTAATATAATTAATCAAAAAGTTTCATAAAAATTGACATTTATAAATACAGAATAGATAATTAAAAAATTAATTTGATTAAAATTACACTTATAAATCATTAAATAAAATAAAAATAACTATCAATATACCAATCATATTGGAAACTTATTGTATTTAGGATTGTCTAAATCAATTGGGATAAAATTTAATATACAATGCTATAATATATATTATAAAATATATTAAAATTTAAGAAAAAAGTCAAGCTTTTTACATAAAATCTTAACACGGTCTGAAAAATTTATTGCGACAAAAAAATTATGTAAAACTATATATACATTATTTTTTATCTTAAAAAAGATAGGGTTAAATATTTTGATGAAAAATAAAATATAAATAAGTAATCATAATATTATCTTTATAAATAAGGTGAATATTATTATATTGATGGATTTTTGAATTTTTTTTTGAATATTATGTTAAAACTTATAATGATGCATATATTTTTTAAGAGTAATATAATCAATTAAATTTTTTTATAAAAATTGACATTTATACATAGAGAACATATAATTAAAAGTGATCTTAGATGTAATTTGGATATTTAAATATATAAGGATATGATAGTAATTTAGATATTAACTATAAAATGACAGAGTGACATTTTTAATTTTTTATGAGGGTAAAATAGTGAATCAAAATTTTTTCATATTAAGTTACTTTTATTAGGTGTATAAAATGATAGGGTTAAATAATTTGATGCAAAATAAAATATAAATAAGTAATCATAATATTATCTTTATAAATAAGGTGAATATTATTATATTGATGGAATTTTTGAAATTTTTTTTGAATATTATGTTAAAACTTATTATGATGCATATATTTTTTAAAAGTAATATAATCAATTAATTTTTTATAAAAATTGACATTTATACATAGAGAACATATAATTAAAAGTGATCTTAGATGTAATTTGGACATTTAAATATATAAGGATATGATAATAATTTAGATATTAAGTGTGAAAGGATATAGAGACATTTTTAATTTTTTATGAGGGTAAAATAGTGAATCAAAAGTTTTTCATATTAAATTAATTTTATTAGTAGTATAGATATAGATATAAATATACATAAATAAGGATAAATTTAGTATGGAGGACAACATATGAATTACGAAATTTGTAAAGGGATAAACTGGTACTTCCACTCCCTCAAGCCAAGCAACCCTAGGGTTTTCCTAGTCCCTTACAAATCCAACTGAAATAACCCATATATAACGCTCCAAAGCCGCTCTTCCTTCTCATACACAGATACACACACAAGAAAGGAGAGAGAGAATGGGAGTGTTCACGTTTGTGTGCAGGGGTTCTGGAGACGACTGGAATGCGAAGCAGGTGAAGGGTGACCTTGAGGCCTCGGCGGGGTCTACCTTCGAGTTGCAGAGGAAGCTCGTTCAGGCTGCCCTTTCTTGTGACTCCTCTGGTGGGGTTCAATCGTCTTTCTCATTTGTCACCCCTTCCTCCGCTGTTTTCCAGGTCTCTATCTCTAATCAAATTCCAGCAATGATTTATTATTTTATGGATTTAATTAGTTTGGTCTACTAATTAATTGTCCTCATTTGTGATCTATGATGTAAGTTTATAGGGGTTGTTATTCTTTGGGTTGTGTTTTCTTTTGTTTCTGGAGAACAGCGTCTGGAAAAGTAAGGAGAATTTTTTTTTTTTGGAGTGAGGGTTATTTTTTGCTCTGATAATTAACTCATGATGATCTGTGATGTTGGTACAGAGGTTGTGATTCTTTGGATTTGTGTTTCTTTTGTTTATGGATAATGGCGCCTGGAAAATTTTTGGTGTTGTTGATGCTTTTTATGCATGACTTATTCCATATGTGTCTATGACTGTACGGGAATAATTGCCTATTGTATTACCGGAATTCAACCTTTTTGCTCTTTAAATATAGGCAAAAATAAAGTTACTATTGTTAGGGAGAGGTCAATTTGATTGGTACCCATTTGGATAGCTGGCTGTAGGAGGGGTGGATTGGGTAGAAAAATGGTAAATAAAGCAAGTGACTCACTATGTCATTAGATTGAAACCCAATTTTAGAAAAATGGTATCTTTACATCTGAAAAACATGTAATTTGATTGATTGATTGATTGATTCTGTTTTGGTTATGGTTGATGACTATTGAATGTTCTGGGCCAATGGTTTGTTTTAGGAGCCATTTAATATAAATCAAATAGCTTGCTTTGAAGCTACCACATTTATTTGCCTTATTTTGAAAAAGGACAAGTCCATGCGAATAAAGGATTTTAGACCGATTATCCTTGTGTCTAGCCTTTATAATATCATTGCAAACGTGTGCTCATTGAGATTGAAGGAGGTCCTTAGTGAGACAATTTCAAATAGTTAGGGTGCTTTTATTAAAAGAAGACAAATTTTAGATGTAGTATTGGTGGCTAATGAGGTGGTGAAGGATTGTAGGTTGAACGGCCAAGAGGGTATTGTCTTCAAAATTGACTTTGAAAAGGCATATGATTATGTGGATTGGAGTTTCTTGAATCATGTGTCAAAGATGAAGGGATTTGGTAGGGGATGGAGATGGTGGATTAATGGATGCTTCAATCAATGAATTTTTGCTTTATGATTAACGGACAACCTAGGGGAGATTCAGAGTAACTAGAGGTTTAGACAGGGTGATCCTTTATTCCATTTTCTCTTTGTATTAGCGGCTGATGGATTGAGTAGGTTAGTAAGGAGAGCAAAAACATTGGATCTGGTGGAGGGTTTCATTATGAAGGTATTTAGAATGGTGTCTTGATTAAAGGTAAACATAGAGAAATGTTTGAGCGTGGGCATAATTCTTCATAGGATAAAGTTGATAAATCGACACAAATGTTGGGGTGTGGATTGGGGGAGTGGCCTTTAAAGTACTTAGGTCTTCCTTTGTGGGGGACTCTTTTATTTATAGCATTTTGGGACTCTGTTGTGAAGAAGGTGGAAAAAGGATTGGATGGATGGAAGAGAGCTTATATTTCTAGAGGGGGTAGATTAACATTGGTACAATCAATTATGGCTAGTACACCTACTTACTTTTTTTCTCTCTTTAAAATGTCAAGAAAGATTACAATAACAATTGAGAAA